CCAGGGAAAAAAAAACTGGCACAATTGATATCAGAGATTTTGAGTGCAGGCATTTTGTTGAAATCAACAAAATTATTTAACAAGGCATTGAGTCATGCAGGCAGTAGATTGGTTTGAAGTTGGCCAGGATGAGAGTTCTTGGCATGGTTGGCATGGTTTTAAAGTGGAGCATTTGAAATGCTGAAGTCCTTATAAGCTGCAATCAGTTGTCTTTGTTTTTTGAAGCAGTTTAATTTTTAAGCACTTTAAGTTTCAAGAACCAGAATTGTTTTTCTTTTTCTTTTTTGACTTTATCTACATAAGATTTTTTTGTCTTTATTTTTTGAAGCACTTTAATTTAGAAGCACTTTATTCAAGTTTCAAGAGCCAGAATTTTTTTTCTTTTTTGACTTTATCTATACAAGATATATGAAGATTCAGAGTCAGAAGTTTTGTCTGCCTTCTTGAGAAACTGCCAACTCCAATCTTAAAAAACTCTTCTAGAATGTCAAAATCAAATTTTAAAACTTCTGAATATTAGAAAAGAATAGATGAAATAAAAAAGTAACCACAGAATGGAAAATGTTTGTAAAATGTATATCTCTCAAAGACTTATTTTTAGAATACATAAAAAATTCTCACAATACAATAATTTTAAAACCCAATGAAAAATGGGTGGAAAATTTGAAGAGGCGCTTCAGCAAAGAGGATAAATGAGTGATCATTCAGCATTTGAAAAAATGCTTGATCTGGGAAATGCAAATTAAAATTACTATGAGATACCACTATGAGATACTCACTAAAACATATGAAATTAAAAAGACGAACAATACTAAGTATTGTGCAGGCAATGAAGCAACTAGAACTACCATGCATATGATAAAAGATATCTATTAAAACCTTCACCAACTTTCATCCTAAAGAAGAAAAATTGAGGAGCATCCTCATTTGAACAGGAACAAGACAAGGATGCACACTGTCACCACTATTATCTGACGTTATTAGAGAGGTTATAGCCAATAAAGTAAAACCAGAAAGATAAGCCAGAAATGTAAAAATTAGAAACTGAGAAATGTTTCCAGTATTTGTAGATGATGTTCAAGTTCCCATTGATTTTAATATCATGATCCAATAATAGAGATGAGTCCCATAACTTTTGCTATATTCTGTTGGCTAGAAGCAAATCTTAGGTTCTGTTTGCACTCAAAGGGAGGGATTTATACAAGGTGTGACTCAATAGGGGTCACCTTAGGGTATGCCTGCCCCACTAAGAGTATGAGGGGGCAGTTACCCCTCATCCTACACATAATACAGATGTCCCAGTGGAGGGACTTCTTTTTTTTTTTTTTTTTTTTAGACGGAGTTTCGCTTTTGTTACCCAGGCTGGAGTGCAATGGCGCGATCTCGGCTCACCGCAACCTCCGCCTCCTGGGTTCAGGCAATTCTCCTGCCCCAGCCTCCTGAGTAGCTGGGATTATAGGCACACGTCACCATGCCCAGCTGATTTTTTGTATTTTTAGTAGAGACGGGGTTTCACCATGTTGACCAGGATGTTCTCGATCTCTTGTCCTCGTGATCCACCCGCCTCAGCTTCCCAAAGTGTTGGGATTACAGGCGTGAGCCACCGCGCCCGGCTTGGAGGGACTTCTTTACTTGCCTGAACATACACATGCTCAGCTATTGTACTTAAAGTCTTTTACCTCTATCTTAATTTTCACTCCCTGCATTTTCCTTTTTTTAAAAATACAATGTACCAAAGCTCTACGGTAAAACCTATAATACAGCAAAAAATAGTCTCTGATTTATAAGGGGAGAAAATTTAAAAGTTCTAAATCCAGGGAATTTCTTAGTAACTTAAAACATCATACTTTCTCATACAGTGAAGGGAAGTGTTTTGTTGCTTTTACACTGTTTGTTTAAATATATAATTGATTTTTAAAAATGAAAGCAGGTTTCATGCTTCATGTAACAAACACTAATTGTGAAAACTGAACTATTCCTAGAACCATGTTCAAAAAAACGCTTCATTGGCTAAACAGTCTTATTTTATGATCTCAGTTGACTGAAAATGAGGTATAAAGTAATTAAAAGTAATACGATGGCTTGCAGAGATGGGGTGGCAGAAGCTCGGAACACAGAATATAAAATAGGTAACTACAAAATGACACAAACACCTAAAGCAATATATTTAAATTATTATTAAAAAAAAAAATGGCCAGGTGCGGTGGCTCACATCTGTAATCCCAGCACTCTGGGAAACTGAGGCGGGAGGATCACCTTAGGTCTGGAGTTCAAAACCAGCCTGACCAACACAGGTTTAGTAGAGAAACCCCGTCTCTACTAAAAATACAAAATTAGCTAGGCGTGGTGGCGCACGCCTGTAATCCCGGCTACTTGGGAGGCTAAGGCAGGAGAATTGCTTGAACCTGTGAGGCGGAGGTTGCAGTGAGCTGAGATCCCGCCATTGCACACTCCAGCCTGGGCAATAAGAGCAAATCCCCGTCTCCAAAAAAAGAGAGAAAAGGTTCTTCACCTTCAGATCCTCACTTAGCCCCACTTCCCATTGCCCACTAATCAGCCAAGTTTTAAAAATTTTATGATTACTATTGCCCACTTTTTGGAATACATTTTTGTTTATTTAGTGGAAAATAAACCAGATAAACAATAAACCTCTGCTCAGTTGGGCTGGCTGACATTGTTCTCAGTAACTGTGTTTTTTTTTTTCCCTTTAACTTGATTGTATTTTTTCATTCTCCTTTCTTTAAAAAGTGTCCCAAGAGCCTTAAATTCTCTCTTCAGTTGGTCTCTTGATAGGTAACTTCATCAATAGGCTCATCCAGGTATAGAGAGCAATTGTGTAAGGATAACAAAGACAACATTTTCCAGAAAGATAACATTTTCAAAAGTGCTATTAAAGACAGTGAGTTGTTTGGTAATTCAAAACAAGTCTTTAGTGGGAAAAATATAGAGAAAAAGTGTTTTTCGGATACATAATGTCAGTTTCTTCTAGAAATAAAAATACACAGGTATTGAATAGGTCCCCTGCCACTGTGGGACCCAAGACTTTTATCTGTAACATTCCATTTGCCCTTCTTGACTGTACGGAATGGAAGTCCTTTGAAGATGGCGGCCTCCATATCCTAATCCATATGGGTGTGGCCATGCCGTTCTTCCGACGAAGTTTCTGAAGGAGAATGAACCACGGAATAAAAGTATACCATTATACGTCATGATAACTGTTGGCCGATTGTAGCTTCAAAAGTGTTACTGGGCATGCGCGCGGTTCAACATTGGCCACATTAATCCCAAAGGGACTCTAACCTAAACCGGAAGTGGCCTAGAGCGGCCATTTTGCTTCTGTTACCTGCATCTGTCTGTCGCTTAAGAGACTGGGAACATTAGCAGTAGGGGTTCTGTAGGGTCAGGGCGGAGAGGCCGGCTTGGGCCTGGGGTGAGTGAGGAGAGGCTTGTTGGGGGGGGGGTGCGTGGTGAAGGGATTTCTCGGGTAAAGACGGGCTGTGAGGTGAGTGACTGGCGTGTGTTGACTGATAGATTTCTGGGGTGGGTGATGGATGCCGTGGAGTAAGTAGGGTTTGCTAATTTTAGTTGGATAATTAGCCTGTTAACTATCCCTCTTTTCTTATTTTCTGCTTGTATATAAGTGTTTTTGTAACTTAAATTCTAAGTGTACTTTAATATCGGATTTTATATTGGTCCAGGAAACTGGCTGACTTGAGGTCAGTGAAGTGCGTCTTTAAGAGCGCCTTTGCAGATGGCACTGGATGACGTTCAGGGAAGGGATTCACTGTCCATGGGACTAGGGGAGTCAGTGATAGATTGCAAGCCAAGAGCTTCAGGGGTTGGAGGACTTTGAGGATCACACTGTAACACTCTCAGGGGACCAGTGATGGGTGACCTATAGCAATCAGTAGAGTGAGGTTGCCAGGGGTAGCCTATGGCAACCAGTTGACTGGAGGCCTAGGGAATCAATGATGGGGATTTGTGAGGGTGACTGCATTGCTTTCTAGCAGTATCAGGGTCCTTCAGGGATAGATGAGTGTGTCAGGGATTGGTGGGTGGGTCAGTGTTGGCTGCTTCTTGGGTCCCTTGGACATGGTAAGGATCAGTAATTGACAGTTGAGCAGATGGATGATGGTTTCCTATCGGGGCATTTCATTTGGACCCTTGTGTTTGGGATTATTTGTCGTTTTGTGGAAACCAGAAAATTGTACTCCCTGGGAAACATTTCTTGGCTATCAGGGCAATAATGATTTCAGAAGCCTAGGCCATGTCAGTGACTGGAAGGCATTTTGTAACTTTTTGGATGTCCTGTGGTCCACTCTTTGGGGATTTCTGAAAGTCAAGTGCTGTAAGAGATGGCATTTAGGTGTGGTGGGGGCAACTCATTGTGGACAGGCAAGAAATGGTGACTGAAGGCCCTGTTGCATGTCTGCAAATTGTCTGGGTCACGGTGGGGATTAACACAGTGATTTTATGTTTTAGCTTTGTCAGAAGATATTGGGCTGTGTGGTGTACTATGGATGGGGACTGAAAAGTCCAGAAGCTCGGAATAGGTACTGCTGACAGCCACCTCCCAGCCTGGACTCTATGAAGGAAACAGGAGGAGGAAATGGTGTTTCTGGGAGCTGGCCACGTATGGGTACATGCGCTAGTGGGGACAGTGTACAGTTTAGAACAAGGCAGATGTGGGGCTGATTCCCTGTTTTTCCATTTGCAGACTGATGACCCTTCAGGCAAATTACGTGACAGCACACAGCCTCATTATCCTCATCCCCAAAACGGGTATCATAATGCCCATTATATTTAGCTGACAGGGTTGTGTGAAATGAAATTGACAACTTGCTTATTTTTATTCATATTTACCACTTGCCAGGCAGGCACTGAGGACCTGACAAGCTTCATCTTACATAAATTTCCCAACACCTGTGATAAATACCTGTATTCTCATTTTGGAAACTAAAACTAAACTAATATTTTCATATTCTCACAGTGAAAAGGTAGCAAAGCTGCAATGAACTCATCATTTAGTCCAGACTCAGTCTTCATTTCTAACCCTAATAACTAGAGTTGGACTTTTCTAAACTTTGTCTACTACACTGTCTGACACAGTGACTTCACCTTACTGCCCTCAAGAAATATCTGTGGAGTGAATGTTGAATGAGTGACCATGTAGTTAGCAAGGCTTCCTCGAGGCTGCAGAACCTCCGGGTCAGGCCACGTCACTGAGGCTGCAGGATCTCCCTTCACAGCCCAGCACACCTCTCTGGACTGTCCCCAGTTGGAGAATCCAAACGCCTATCCAGCTTCCGGCTCCTAGGAAAAGTGGAGTTGAGTTGTCAGCAAGAGAGACCAAGTGTAGAAGCCCAGAGTGAAGATGCCTGCTGATGTGAATTTTTCTCAAAAGCCTCAGGTCTTGGGTCCAGAGGAGCAGGATGGATCTTGTAGGGTAAGTAGGAGCAGTCCTGGGGACAGTTCTCCAGAACATGAGGGCAGATACAGGATGCAGCAGGCTCTGGGCTCCCTTTTCCTGAGTCAGTCTTGACTTTCCTGCCAAGCAAGGACCACAGAGGCCTGATGTTTCCACATTCTTAGGCTATCTGTGTTCCAGAGGAAACCATGAACTGGCTGATAAAAGAGGACAGTACAGTGTTGGCCTTGGGTCAAAAAAGAATAAACTGTGATCCCTGGTCTGATCAGAAACCCCAGACACAGAATAGAAGAGCTGACTCTTTCCTGCTAAGCACTGGCTCCGCTCCATTGGGTCTTTAAGAATTTCAAGTGGTTCCCACCAGATTCCTTGCTTGGTCTATGGGGATTGGCTCGTTTCTCCTCTGTTCCCATAAGGTGCAGAAAAATCTCCTTCCTTTATAGTTTAAATAGTCACAGGGAGGCAGAGCGAGAACGGGCTTTTCAGAACCATGTGGTTTTTCCTGTTTAAAAGGTGAATAAAAAATGCTGGAAAATAGTGTTTCCAGTTTGCCCACAGATAGAAATAGACAGGATTTGGTAACAAGAAATCAGAAGATGATACGTTTCAGTAACCTGTTAAAATCATCTCAACCTGCTAGAAACATTTGATAGTAGAAAGTGTGAAAAGAAGGGAACATTAACACAATAAATTGCACATATAAATCATTTTCAAAATTGTAAATACCCCAAATATTTAACATTTAAAAATCATTTTTAAAAGAAAATTTGAAAACATACAAGTTTAGGCAGGGTACAGTGGCTCATGCCTGTAATCCCAGCACTTTGGGAGGCCGAGGCAGGCAGATCACTTGAGCACAGGAATTCGAGATCAGCCTGGGCAACATGGCAAGACTCTTGTCTCTACAAAAATACAAAAACTGGCCAGGTGTGGTGGCATGCACCTGTAGTCCCAGCTACTCAGAAGGCTGACATGGGAGGATCACCTGAGCCTGGGGAGGTCAAGGCTGCAGTGAGCTGTGATGGTGACACTACACTCCAGCCTGGGCAACAGAGAGAGACCCTGTCTCAAAACAAAACAAGTTTAAAACATGAAATTGTCTAAGTCTTTGTGACAGCGGTGCAAATGCACATTTATTTGCATTGATGTTGGTCGACCTGCATGTTCAGAACATCAAGTTTAGTGTTTTAGGACACGTGTTGTTCAATATAAGGTTTTTTCCTTCTTTTAACAATGAAAATTTTTTTTTTCTGCTTGGCCTGCAAGTTTGTCATTTGAGTCACTAATGACAATACTACTGTCACTAATTCAGATTTTCCATCAGTGTCTGAATTCATGTCAGAATCTATCCCAGTCCCAGTCACATTGCCTTCTCTTTGTGGTGCATATTTCCCGCTGCTCTGGACAATACTGTCTTTTTCTGTTATTTTTATCTTTTCTAATTTGATGGGAAAAAAAGATAGTACAGTGTTTTAATTTGCATTACTTTGTTAACAAACAGGATTTTTTTTCCATCATTTTATTGGTCAGTTACTTGTCTTTAGTGAGTTACTTTTTCCTATCTTTTGATTTATATTTTGGTTTGGCTTAGCCTCCGGATTTGTAAAGAGTTCTCACATAGTAATAACCTAAGGTCCTTGTTGCATATGTTTGTAAATACTTTTGTAACTTTTTCCTTTGAAAGGTTGCAGTTTTATTTGAAATAGAAAAGAGGATCAGGTGGTTTTGTGAAGGCTGTCATCTTTTGAAAGAGCCGTCACTTGCTATATTTTTATACAAGTTCCAGCTCCTCCCAGGCATTCACTTTTTACATTTTTAGCTAATTCTTTTGGCAATTACCTCCGAATCTTTTAGTGACACATGCTTATATTGCTCCTTCTTGAATTGTTAATTAAAATGTTAATTAATTAAGAAACAGATCATTAAAAGGTTTGCTTTTACCCACTTTCTCATACTTTCACCCCCAGGTGTGCATGGTGATGCACACCTGTAATCCCAGCTACTTAGGAGGCTAAGGCAGGAGAATGACTTGAACCCAGGAGGCAGAGGCTACTGTGAGCCAAGATCATGCCACTGTACTCCAGCACTCCAGCCTGGGCAACAGAGCAAGTCTCCATGTGGTCCCAACTCCCTGGGAGGCTGAGGCAGGGGGATCACTTGAGTCTGAGAGGCAGAGGATGCAGTGAGCTGTGCTCATGCCACTGCAATCCAGCTTGGGCAATAGAGTGAGAGTCTGTCTCAAAAAAAAAATTGAGTAAAGGTGTTTTTTAGCCCAATAGAAAAGTGAAGAAGAAAGTTGCTTGAGTAGGCTGGTAAACATGGAAAGATGCTCAGCTTCATTAGTCATCTGGGAAATGTCAGTTAACTACCATGCCCCCACCAAAATGCATACAGTTGCCAACACTGATAATACCAAATGTAGGTGAGGATACAGAGCAACCAGAAGGATTTCATGTGCTGATGGTGAGCAAGTACACTGGTACAGCCGATTTGGAAAATGATTTCCAGTCTTCTACTAAAGATGAACATGTTTTTGCTATGACCCAGAATTCCACCCCTGGGTATATGCCCAATATCTGTTCTGAACTGGTATTTAAATCTAGATCTGTGCTGTCCAGTGTGGTGGCCACTCACCACATGTAGCTATTGAGCCCTTGAACGCGGCTGGTTGACACTGAGATGTGCTTCAAGTATAAATATATGCTGACTTCTGAAAACTTAGTATAAAAACAGAATGTAAAGCATCTCGATGATTTTTAAAATATTGGTTACATTGTTTCAGGCATCAGTGTCGTTTGAGGACGTGACCATGGACTTCAGCAGAGAGGAGTGGCAACAGTTGGACCCTGCCCAGAAACGCCTGTACCAGGATGTGATGCTGAGCTCTATAGCCACCTCTTCTCAGTGGGTGAGCACAACTGACCTGGGAATCTTGGCTGGATCCTGTTGAGATTTTCTTCTTCCTAGTTGCAGTACGCAGTGAGATATCAAAGTATGTCATGACTTTTGCCTTGGCTTGTCCTGGATTGTTTGTTTCTTTTGGGCACCTTTTAGTATTATTTTGTGCCCCATGGAATATGTTGACTTTTCTATTGAGCCAATGTAAAGCTTCATTGAATGGCCTCTAAAACTGAAGAAGCCACACCTAAATCCAGTATCCTTTCTAATTAACAGGGTATCAGATTCCCAACCCAGATGTCATCTTCAGAAGGCTAAAAGAAAAGGAGCCTTGTATGGAGGAGGCTGAATTCTCACATCAGAGGTGTCAAGGTGAGTAACTTGTACCCAGGCAAATGTAGGTATCTTTACAGGAAACCATTACCAATCTACCATACTTTTCCATTTCCTCCATTCCACGAGTGGTGGCCCATAGGTTGCCTCCTACTCCCAGTTACTACATCAAACACTGTAAATAGTCTATAAATTCTAAATGTCCTATAGTGGGTGCCTTAAGAATTTCCCAGAGGTGAATACTCACGAATGGGATTGCCTGGTCATGGAGATAAGTATACTTGACTAAGTCAACCATATTGCTCTCCTGATGGGCTGCACCAGTTTACAGTCCCATGTGCTATGCACAAGGATTTGCATTTGCACATCTTGCTTGCTAACACTTGGCATTAACAAAATTGGTGAATTTATAGCCCTACTGATGGGTGAAAGGGCTGTTTCATTGTTTAAGTGTTACTTTTCTAATAACTTGAACGGTGGGGAGCCTCTCTTCATATCTGTTATCTGATTTAAGATACATTTAAGGTACAGCATTAGGATTTTTTTATATTTATATCTTATAAAATATTATTTTATATTTAGGATACAGAAATTACTGATTTTCTGAAAATAAGCAGAAGAGAATATTTCATACTATTTTTAAAGGATGCTTTAAATATCTGCTAAGTTCAAAAGAACAGATTGCATTTGGAGAGGACAATGGCATTAAATGTTAAAAGCATTAGCCTTTGCGCATCAATCATGTCTATTTGATGGAAGGCTACTCAAAAAGCAAGTGTATCAAAATGGGAAACATGGATAGCAAATGCTTGTGAAGTTCAGAAAAAATGATGTCAACCTAGAGGTGGAATGACATTGGGAATTTTAAGGACACAGTACTTATAACTGATCCACAAAGCCATTTAGAATTGAAACGAAGAAGCAGATGAAGCAAGATTAATGGGATCAGAAGACATGAGAGTGTGCTTGCGTTTGAGAATAAACTGGATCTTTTTTTTTTTTTTTTTTTGCAATCAGCATTGTTAGACTGTGTTAAAGAGTTATGGAAAAGCTTTTCAGTACAGTTCTCATGGTTTACATTGAACATTTTGGGCAGTAATTTAAGTGTTATCAGGTTCAGCAAGATTTTTATGACCTGAAGTGAGAAGTTAAAAATGTTTCAAATCTCTGCTTGGGGACACAGTGGAAGACTGTCAGAATAAATGACTACCCTTATGTGGGTAAAATTGCTATTTAAGAATGAAAAATGAAATAGAAAACAAATAACCTGTTTTAATAAGTGGGAAAAGGATGTGAATAGACATTTCTTCAAAGATGATATACAAGTGGGCAATAATAGGATAAAAGCCTCAACATCACTAATTATGTGGGAGATGCAAATCAAAGTCACTGTGTGATATCCCTTTACAATCATTAGAATGACTATTATTAAATAAACAGAATAACAAGTGTTGGCATGGATATAGAGATACTGGAATCCTTGTGTATTGCTAGTGGGAATGTAAAATGGCGTAATCCTATGGAAAATAGTATGGTGATTCCTCAGAAATTAAACATAAAATTACTAATATGATCCAGGAACTCCACTTCTGGTTAGATACACAAAAGAATTGAAAGCAAGGACCCAAACAGCTGTTTGTACACTCTTGTTCATAGCAGCAGTATTCACAATATCCAGAAAGTAGAACTGTCAATTGACCAATGAACTGGTAAGCAAAATAAGGTCTATACATACAATGAAATATTATTCAGCCTTAAAAAGGAAGGGAATTATGAAACATGCTGCAGTGTGGATGAATCTTATCCTGATGCTAAGTGAAATAAGCTAGACACAAAAAATCCAAATGTATCATTCTACTTATATGAGGTAACTTGAGCAGTCAATTCACAGAGACAGAATAAGATTGTGGCTGCCCAAGGATGAGGGACGGGGGAAAGGGAGAATAGTTTAATGGGTACAGCATTTCAGTTTTGCAAGATGTAAAAGTTTTGGAGATCTGTTGCACAATAGGGTGAATAAAGGTAGCACTACTGAACTGTACAATACAAAATGGGTAAGATGGTCCATTTAATATTACACAGTTTTTGTTACAAGAAGTTAACAATAAAGATTAAAACTGTCCTAATTTTTTTTTTAAATGAAAGATGATTGAGTTTTCTGATACGATAAGAATCTGGGATACAGCTTAAGTGACTGAAAGAAAAAAGAAACTACATGTGACATCATACTTAGTATTAAAATCTCGTAGAAAAAAGTAATAGTAAAATTTAGTAACTATTATTTTTATTGAGAACCTAGTGCGTTTTGTGCGCTATACTAATAAAATGCACAAGATGATCAGAGACTCCTATTCTTGGGAAAAAAAAACAAACTAAAAAAAGCATATTTGATAGCATAAAGCCAAAAGTTCTAACAAAGAACAATTAATTTCTATGGAAGAAGAGTGAAACAAATTCCGAGGAAGAGCTTGCTTGTCCAGTTTTTCATAATATCTTTCTGGGGATATGGGTGTATTCCTAAGTTCATGGAAAAAAAAATTGTAACTTCATGGAGAGTTGGGGCATAGTCATTCTTTCACTGGTTGGCCATGTCAAGATAGGTGAAGCTTTAATAGTTTTCAGGAGGATATACAGGGCTGATGGGCTTGGCATCGTTTCTTACAAGTAAGATAAAGCAGGGAGACTGGTGAGGATTTGTCTCTGCAAGTTAATGAACACCTATATGCTGCGCCCCATCCTTCAAGCCTTGGCTGTCCAGAGATGGTGCCTGCAACATTCTTGTCTATTTTATCCACTACTTATTCTACTAGATCTGGGTGTCTAGACTGCTTTTGTATAAGTGGCCCCAGGTTGTTCAAATCTAATCCCCACAGATTAGCAAAATGATCTTGGCCAGTTACATAACCATTATGTGCTTCCTTTTCTTTGTAAAACAGGAACACACATGATTGCTACCTCCTGAGGTCATTATGCAAATTAAATGAGTATGTGTATGCCATGTAGCCATTGCCTGGCACGTGCTAAGTGCTATGTAGATAAGTGCTCAGCATATAATAAGGGTTCTATGTTTCTGCTCATTGTCAACATCATTAGCACCATTATTACACGACTCAGCAATTTCCTTGTGTTCATTGTCAATCAGCTTATACAATGTCTCCTCTTTCCTGTTCATTGTGACTATTTCATCTTCTCTTTCTCCTTTCAGAAGGGGAGTTACAGGAGATTTCTAAGAAAGCGTCATTTCAAAAGGATATGGTAGGTGAGTCCACAACAAATGGTTCATGGTATTCCATTTTAGAAGAACTGAGGCTGGGTGCTGACCGTAGAAAGAGAGATGAGCAAAATCAAATTCAACCCACAAGTCACAGGGCTTTCTTCAACAAGAAAACATTAAACACAGAAAGCAATTGTGAATATAAGGACCGAGGGAAAATGGTTCACACGAAGCCCCACCTTGTTTCTTCACAAAAACAACCTAAGAAATGTTGCTTATTTACAAAAAGTTTAAAGCTGAACCTAGAAGTGAATGGTCAGAATGAAAACAATGACACAAAACAGCTTGATGACGTTGTTGGATGTGGTCAGCTATTCAGCCACAGCTCTTCCGATGCTTGCAATGCAGGAGAGACATTTTGCAAAGGTAATCAGTGTAGAAAAGTCTGTGGCTATAAACAGTCAGTCACCCAACATCAGATTCATACTCAGAAGAAACGAGATGGATGTTCTGAATGTGGGAAGAACTTCATCCAGAAGTCACACCTGTTTGCCCAGCAGAGAATTCATAGTGTAGGAAATTTCCATGAATGTGGCAAATGTGGAAAAGCCTTCACCCCACAAGTAAAACTCAGTTTATATCTGACAGATCATACAGGTGATATACTCTATATATGCAAAGAATGTGGGAAGGTCTTTATTCAGAGATCAGAATTGGTTACGCACTAGAAAACTCACACTAGAAAGAAGCCCTATAAATGCCATAACTGTGGAAAAGCCTTTTTCCAGATGTTATCTCTCTTCAGACATCAGAGAACTCACAGTAGAGAAAAACTCTATGAATGCAGTGAATGTGGCAAAGGCTTCTCCCAAAACTCAACCCTCATTATACATCAGAAAATTCATACTGGTGAGAGACAGTATGCATACAGTGACTGTGGGAAAGCCTTTACCTAGAAGTCAACACTCAGCTTGCACCAGAGAATCCACTCAGGGCAGATATCCTACATGTGTATTGAATGCAGGCAGGCCTTCATCCAGAAGGCACACCTGACTGTCCATCAAAGAAACCACACAGGAGAAAAACCTTATCAGTGCCACAACTGTGGGAAATCCTTCATTTCCAAGTCACAGCTTGATATACATCATCGAATTCATACAGGGGAGAAACCTTATGAATGCAGTGACTGGAAAAACCTTCACCCAAAAGTCACACCTGAATATACACCAGAAAATTCATACTGGAGAAAGGCACCATGTATGTGGTGAATGTGGGAAAGCCTTCAATCAGAAGTCAATACTCAGCATGCATCAGAGAATTCACACAGGAGAGAAGCCTTACAAATGCAGCGAATGTGGGAAAGCCTTCACTTCTAAGTCGCAATTCAAAGAGCATCAACGAATCCACACAGGAGAGAAACCCTATGTGTGCACTGATTGTGGGAAGGCCTTCAATGGCAGGTCAAATTTCCATAAACATCAAATAACTCACACTAGAGAGAGACCTTTTGTCTGCTACAAATGTGGGAAGGCTGTTCTCCAGAAATCAGAGTTGATTACCCATCAAAGAACTCACATTGGAGAGAAACCTTATGAATGCCTTGACTGCAGGAAATTCTTCAGTAAGAAACCACAACTCAAGGTGCATCAGTGAATTCACACGGAAGAAAGACCTTACGTGTGTTCTGAATGTGGAAAGGCCTTCAACAACAGGTCAAATTTCAATAAACATCAAACAACTCATACCAGAGACAAATCTTACAAATTCAGTTATTCTGTGAAAGGCTTTACCAAGAAATGAATTCCTAGTTCATCAGCATATTCATCAATGAAATATACTCCCTAAGTTTCTTGAAGAAGAGAAAATCTCAGAATCAGTCTAATTGTATGTTATTGAATTCATGCTTCAGAAAAACTCTAGGAATGCACTGCATGTGTGAACACACGACAAAGTCACACTTTATGTGAGAGAAATTACTGAAAAAAGAATAAGCAGAAATGTCCTTCTTAATACTGGCCTCATTAAGGATTATAAATTTTCATCCTGAGAAGAAACCCAGACTAATGCATTGAGAAAAGCCTTTCTGTAAAGAATGGTACAAGCAGGTTGTTACCAGATTACATAAAGTTTGTGGGAAATTATATTAATGATAACCCTGTTTATTGTGGGATATCAATATTTCTACAGTGCCAACAGAGTAATAACAGGACAATATTATGTGTGTGTGTGCGTTATGTATATAAAAGCATATATATCGTATACAGGTTTAGTATCCCTTCTCCAAAATGCCTGGGATCAGAAGCATTATAGATTTTGGAATATTTGCATTATATATATTGGTTGAGCATCCCTGATCCGAAAATCCAAGATGAAATGCTCCAATTAGCATTTCCTTTGAGCATAATGTGAGAGCTCAAAAAGCTTCAGATTTTGGGTTTTCAGATTAGGGATACCCAACCTGTATGTACATATATTTATGTATCTGTGTCTGTATATATGCATATGCAGATATATGTGTATGGTCAGGTCAGCATATGTGTATATGTATGCCCTCAGTGCAGTGGGGTTTGCCGCAGAATTCACTGCATAGCAGGTGTAGGTAGATTACAGTTATTTTTTAAAAGAATCTAATCTAATTGTTTTTATTTAAAAAATTCCTTATTGAATATTTATTTCATGAGATTGTATTGATAATGATTAACTCCTTTATTATACATACACATGAAAGTACATTTTTTTGGTAAATGCATAAATGAGATTCTATAATGTTTACTGATCTTTATATTATAGCTTTTCTCTTCTTTTAGGATTAGCTCAGCTTGGCCCTCCCTTTCCATCTCCATCATCTATAGTGAGCCTCTCCATAAATAATCAGTGCCAACCATTAGTCTGTTTCAAGTCTCTGCATAATCAGTGCCAGCCATTAATCTGGTTCATATTGTTACACAGGCCCCTAAACATACACACCAGGAGTCAACAAACTGTGGCCATTAGCCAAATATGGCCTACCAACTGTTTTTTTATTTTTTTTATTTTTAATAAAATTTTACTGGAATACAGCCCATGTTCATTTGGACGTGTATTCTCTGGGCTGATTTCATGCTCCACTGGCAGAACTGAGTAGTTTTGGTAGAGATCAGATGACCCCCAAGATTTACTCTCTGGCTCTTTACAGAAAATGTTTGCCAACACTTGATACAAACACACACACATACACATATATTACTCTGCTCATAATTATATACCTGTGGAAGGACTCTTTCCTTGATTTATAAAACTCAGATTTCTTACATGTGTGTGCATGTTTTTTTTCATTCTGTAATCTATGATGGATTGCACACACACATATTTCATGAGGTTGACCTGCCATAATTTATTTAGCCATTCCCAGTTTTGATTACTTATTTCCCCCCACACACATACCTTTTCTTGCTAAAGAAAAGGGAGAGGGGACTGTTACAAATATTTCTGAGAAGCAGACCAGCATAATCTTTTAAGGGCACAGGCTCAGGAGCCAGGCTTCTGCATTTATTCCTGGGTCCACTCTCTACCCTCTGCATCTGCTCAGCAAGTTATTTGGTCTCATCTACAAAAGATGTCCCGTCTACAAAAGGGAGATTATGATAGTACCCAACCCCCATGCATTTGATGTGAGAAGTGTGTATGTGTTAAGCCCTTGGAACTGCATGGGCAGACCAACTGCTGATGAATTTTAGTGGGACCTTGTATCCCTGAGACTGCCTGGGTTCCCTTGTGCTGGGCGTGGGACTGCAGTGGGAGATTCCAGTCAGCTGAAGTCCTTTCCAGAAGGGGGAGAGTGTTAGAGATGGGCACCCATGGCTTTAGTCTCCATATCCCTTCAAGGTTGGCAGGGGCCTGCACAGCTAGTCAGGAACAGGCACAGACCTGAGCCTGTGCTGGGCTTTGGGGAGCAAATCTGTTCTGTGTCTAACTGGCCTCTCCCTGTCCAGGGGTGTAGTATCAGTCACCATGGCCCACCTCCTGAGAAAAGTGGAAGAGTCTCACCTGGGGAGTCCAGGCACAAGGGCTGGCTGGCCACAGATGTGACTGGTTTGGGGTGGAAAGGCCTCAGAGGCCTCTCCATGGTGGTGAGGGGTATTACTTGGTGTGGGGGGAAACAGTGTACACCTGGGTCCTGGGAGTGGCACCCTATTCAGTTTCAGGGAGGAAGGTGGCAGGGCCCCAGGACAGGTGTTGTAAAAACTTGAGCATACAGTGTAGATACACTGGTTAGAGGTTCCAAAGACTCCTTGGGAGGTGCCTCCCTTCTCAGATCTGGGCTTCCCCTATTCCTAAGCATCACCTGGGGACCCCACTCTGGGATCCCCTCCGGCATATAGTAGCGTCGGAAGAGAAGGTGGGGCCAGGAGAGGAGCATCCTGCTTAGGTATACCCTTCCAGGGACATGGGAGGGCATGGAGGCCAAACATCTGTCTCTGACAGGGTCCCCATGCCACAGGCCAGCCCTCCAGTCCAGGGTAGCCTGTGTTCCCTGCAGTCCAGGGTGGCCCATACCTGCCTCATCGTGTCAGGACCTGCAGCCCCTTCTGGGCTCCTTGGAGCAGGGCCTCCCACCTAGCAGCAATGTTGTCGTCATCATCATCCCAGCCCCAGTACCTGTTGGAAAATCCATTCATCTTCAGGTAGTGAATGGGGCACAGGGCAAACACCCCTCCAAGGTGGCCTGGATGGGGAAGACTACAGAGGCAGAAAGTCGGAAGCACAGCTTTCCTTGTAGGAGAGGGTCCTGGCCCTTTCCTGGCCAGGTTCTACAAGGTCTGTTTCTAGAAGGCCCTTTTCCACTTACCCTGTGATGACCTCTCCCCTGACCCCTGTGATGGTCCCATCTTTACCCTAGGATGTCCTCTTTTCTGACCCCAGGGTAGCCCTTCCATTGACCCTTGGGATGGCCCTCACCTGATTCTTAGGACATCCTCTCTTCTAAGTCATCTGGCAAGGCCATCTTGTGACTGTGTTGATGGCCCCTTCTCCCCAGAACCCTAGAATAGCTCCTTCCTCACCCCCAGTCAGACCTCGCCCATGTTCCCCTCCTCTGAACCCCAAAACAACCTCTCAGTTCACCACTTTATTAAGTACATCTTCTGACTCTTCTGTCAATAACCACTCCCATCCCCACTTGACACCCATGTCTCAAAGGAAGTTTCTTCACCATCTATAAGGGTTTCTCCATGTCACATCACCCACTCCCTCCCTACCTCAGCCCTAGGGACCAAGGGATGGACCCTTGACTTTAACCTCAGTGCACAGATAGGTAGAGTGAGATGCAAGGAAAGGCAAAGCCTGGCCAACAGTCCCCCACAGGAGGTCCCCTCCCTCCACCTACTTGGTAGTTGAACTTGTCAATGGCCACAGACATATGGGCAGGGAAGATGTCACAGGTGTAGAGGTTGTGGTCCTCTTCTAGGAGTAGGTTTACATCATGGAAGAAGACACAGTCCCAGTCCTCCTCCTGCATAGCCTCCCAGAACCCCACATTGCATAGCCTATCCTGGTCGAAGGCTGTGTTGTTTACCTGGGGTGGACACAGATGCTCAGAGCTGTCTTCACCATCAGGCAGCAGTGTTCCCCTACCTACTAGGCCAATCTTCTTTCGCTTTCTCAAGTGCCATTCCCCCACCTTGAATGCCTTCTCTTTCCCACTATGTAATTGGAAAACCCAGACTTGTCAAGGACGATGCAATGCAAACGTTACTCCCCTGAGAAACTTCTCTTGTATTTCCCACCCCCATCCAAGTCAAAGTCAGTAACTTCAGCATCTCAGCTTCCCTTCTCTGGCTATCTGCAGTGTTCTCGAGGATCATCACCTTTGAGGGGCCATCGAAGAGAGGCAGAGGTTAGAGATGATAAGGGACCACCTCTGTCTCTGTTTCGGCTCCTAGTAGATAAAGACTGGCTCAGAAGCCCAGGAATCCCCGTGGGGTTTGCGTCTCCTCCTCCCCTTCATCTATCATCATTATTTTCATCATCAACACCATCATCACTATCCGTCATTATAATCAACATTGCCATCATTATCACATCACTGCCTTCATCATCTTCAACACTGTCAACATAATCACCTCACCTCCACTATTGTTACCACCATCATCACCATTACTTTAATCATTATCATGACCACCTTCATTAACATCACTATATCATTACTAACATCACTACCACCTTGAGTATCACCATCAACATCACTACCGTCATCATGTCACCAGCAGCACTACCACCATCATTCTCAAAATCATCACCATCACCATTCATAATCACCATAATTGTAATCACTTATTGAGCACCTACTATGTGCTACGCATTGGCCTGTCTTACATTGGTTAATATACAGCATTCTATTTGGTATGATTCCTTCCCATAATGTAACAACGGAGGTGTTATTATCATCTCCATGGTGAATGAAAACTGTGGCACATAAGTGCTCCAAGTTCATACAGTTATACTGAATAATGGCATGCTGAATGACTGAATGAATGAATGATTCCACACTCAGACAACACAGCTAGTAATAGGCAAGGCCAGGATTTAAACAATCCCATAACTGACCCCAAATCCAGTGCTTTAATTTGCCCCTTAGGTTTACCGTAAAATCTGGGCAGCCCTGGTCTCAAGGAGCCCCACACTCAGCAGGACTAAGCCTTTGCCTCAGACAGCCTTTTAAGCCAATCTCAGAGTTGGCAAGTCTAGACCAAACCTACAGCCCTTGGCTCCAACATCCTCTAATTCAAGTTCTTCTTGACTCACAAACTAAGCCCCCCAGACAATATCTAACCCAGACCACTATCACCTTAGAGAGTCCCAACTTCAGGCAGGGCGCAGTGGCTCACGCCTGTAATCCCAGCACTTTGGGAGGCCAAGGCAGGTGGATCATGAGGTCAGGAGTTCGAGACCAGCTTGGCCAATATGGTGAAACTCCCTCTCTACTAAAAATACAAAAATTAGTTGGGCGTGGTGGCATGCACCTGTAGCCCCAGCTACTTGGAACCCAGGAGGCAGAGATGGCAGTAAACCGAGATCTTGCCACTGCACTCCAGCCTGGGTGACTGAGCAAGACTCTGTCTCAAAAAAAAAAAAAAAAAAAAAAGAGTGCCAACTTCAGCCCTGCCATGCTGGGACCCTTCTGTCCTCTTACCTTTGCCCCTCCCAGTCCTGCCTCGCCTGGTTCACCACCTAGATGGTGTAGTACAGTTGCTGGCTCTGCAGGAAGGTGTACAGTGGGAGAGCAGGTACTTCAGGTGCTGGGCTTGCCCACAGTAGGGCACCACTACCGCTGTGTGGTGCTGTGTGGTGCTGTGCCCAGCAGTCAGGTGGCTGGTATTGACCTCCCAGCTTCACCAGTGGGTTCTTCTCTACCACATTCTCCATTGTCAGGTTCTCTGGAATGATCACTTTCAAGAGGCCATCTGAAGGGGCAGAGGCCTCGAGCGGTCAGAGACCTGCCTACCCCACAACTCAGTGGTACTGGGTTGAATATTGTCTCCCCAAAATTCTTGTTTACTTTAAAATGTGGCCTTATGTTTGGAAATAGGATCTTTGCAGATGTAATTTGTCTTCCCTGGGAGACCACATCACTCCAACCCTCCCCAGCTGGGAACCACTGACTGACATTATCTTTAGGATGTCTGGGGTTTTGAAACTCTTACCCTTGCTTGCTTTAAAGTAAAAATTAGGCCTGGCTCAGTAAAGGAAGCCACCCTTGATTATGAGTGTTAAACGAGATGAAAATATTAAGTGTTATTGTTTAGTAAAGTACTGTTCTAAACACTTTCCACTAATCTTCAAACTTTGAGGCAGATACTACTATTATCTCCATTTTACAGACGAAGAACCTGAGACGATGGGTGGAAAGTGCAGGGCACAGCGTCTGGCACAAGCCAATGGCTTAATCGCTGTTGTTTTCACATGTCCTGGCTTGCAGCACTTGTAACCTCTGGGCTCCTGCAGCCCTTAACATCTGATACCTTCACATTAAGATTTATCATCCTTATCTCTGGACCAGGCTGGATACACCTGTGTCC